CTGAAGCACTGGCAGTAACGCGTGTTTGTGGCCACTGGCATTGTAGCGGCAGCGGGGCGGGACGACGGCGGCCGACACCACTCGATGAAAATGGATCGCGGCCGGCGGCAAAAAACAATTTGGCGCCATAATTCAGCGTGACACGGGCAGGAATTGGCCCGGCGCGGCGGAGAGATTTCCGTCATACGTCAGGTCGTTTACGGCTCGTAACCGGCGCCGTGCGTCTTCATCGCGAGACAGTGGTGTAACGACCGGCCAATCGGGGCGGCGCTGTAATGGATGTGACCTACCCTATCCGAAACCGTTTCACTCATGACGATCTTGAAAACTCGGGCGCAAATATCTCCCATTCAATCTACAATCAAAATAATTTGAAGTCAGTCTACGACATATCCAGCTTACGCCGTTTTCACATGGAGGTAAAATAAGACTGGATCATGCTAAGTCTTTCTTAATTTCCAATTCCGATAAATATTTTTACATTTCATGAAATCCAGCGTTATTGCGCACTCAAATTGGCTGGCTGGTATGCTCGTGGCTTCCTTTTTTTTCTTTTTTTTTTTGCTGGCTAGCACCACCCAATCAATGCCACCTCTGCGAAGCATGACGATCAGCTCGAACAGCCACCGCTGCACTGGGCTGAATGTTTACTGTCGGCCGTCTCGGGACATACCGGCAGCGTGTCGGCCCTGCACCCGGGGCCGGTGGCTATGAGTCGCGGCACGTGCTGCGGCGTGTCCCAGACGCCCCATGACCCGGCCCTTCGTCACCGGACAGATTAAACGCTGACCGGGCCAACAATCATCAGATTAAACGCCGACAGGCTCAGCCGCCGGCGATAGCTGGGTTTAATTGGCCACCCCTGAAAACTGCGAGCGATAACATAAGTCGATCCCAAGAGCTAAATATTTAAGTCGGTGCATCATTGAATTGCAAGCACGTGAATCATTGAAACATTGTAAGGTTAGTTTGCACACTGTTCCAAGATACCAGGATAACGAGCCCCTAAGACCAAGATCTGTTCTTACGTCAACATTCAATGATTGCTTGCAGCATTGATAGAATTCAACGGATGCTTCAATCGGTTAATTGGAGGTTTCGACTGTCAACAGAACACCGACAAAATGAGATAGGTCCAGCCCACCTACCAATTAAGTTCCAGAAGCAGCAACATTCTATTGAGCAGAGATCACTCGCAAGATTTGAGATCCAGTGCGCTTTGTCCGAAGCCCACCGACTGAGACCGCCTACTGGTCAAACAGCCTGAGCCGACGTGTGCGTCTCTGCACCATCGCCCGCACCACCGACCGTGACGTCCGTGACGTCCGTGACGTGGCGGCCGTGACGGATGGTCGCTCCGGGAGGCCGGGATCCGCCACTAATTGGCCGCCTGTTTTATCTGGCGGCCGCTGCGGCGGACGTCAGCGCTCATCAGACGGCCGATCGGACACCGCACGCACTTTGATGTCGACTGGTGTGTGGTGGAGGCCGGTGCCAGGTGGGGAGGTGTGGTGGTGGATCTTGTGATCACAGGTGGGATGGCCACTTCCCGATCGAAGCGGGTACTAACTGGGATAGTCACTTCCAAATGCATGTTTTGGGTACGACGGCAGGCTCAGAGATAGCTCTACTGTCCGTCAATCGTAAGCCAAACCGCCCGCTACCTAATGCCTATACTGTTCCCCAGCAGTCTGATTCGTCGTTCGATGTACCGACCAGCGTCCATTTCCTTTTGCCCATAGCCACCGCCCACCAACTAAAACATCCACCGTCCACCGCTCAGCGACCACGTCCACCGTCCACCTTCCACCATCTACCGTCCACCGTCTACCACCGTCCTCCGTCTTCCACCGTCCGCCGTCCACCGTCCACCGTCCCACCATCTATACCGTCCACCGTCCCAACATCCACCGTCTACCACCGTCCGCCGTCTACTATCTACCGTCCACTATCTACCGTCCACCGTCCACCGTCTACCACCCGGTGCTAGCCGAGGCATCCCGCATGGACAGGTGTCTATCAGACGTGACTGCCATTTCACGGTGGTCAGGCACATCGCCATTAGCGTGAGTAAAAACGCTCCCGGACGGCTTGACCAGGAATCAGGCAGGAATGTGCATGGGAGCTGATGAAACTACTTACATCATCGAAATACCTGTCCTCAGGTAGCCTGCACGTGGCTTTGTGAAGTGATTACAGGAATATGACTTACGAGATCGAAAAAGACGATGGAAGAATAGCTGCACTGGAAGGCGGTCCCTAACATGTTTTAATACACGTAGCGCATAGAACGGGTCAGCTTAGAATATGCCGGTTAGAAAGCAGGTAAGCTAAGGACAGGTCAGATTGGATGACCAGATCAGTTCAGATGAGCATATTAATCACCAGGATTAGGTCAGTTCGAGGAGCAGATATGTCAAAGAGCCCAGGCCAGGGACAACGCGGCACCTAATTTCAAACCGGCGTCACTGACGAGCTCGACGGTTGACGACACCTCGCTGGATAGTTATGCCTCCACTACAACAGTCTCTGAACAGTTCTACCGGAATCGGTGTGGTGTTACGGTGCTCAGCGGGCTCCATCGCTGGGATCCTCACAGCGAGACATCCGCCCATTGAATTCCAATCAGTTGTGGGTTGCCGCCGCTCCTAACCGTTATAACGCCCACTTACAATACCATTAGTGGGCCGCTAACAAGCAGTCAAATCTATAAAAAGCCGCGTCAAAGGGTGGACAGTAGGAGCTACGTTACCGGTTTCCAGCTTGTCAATTACCAAAGACTGCCCAATTCATTAGGAAGTCGCCACCCGGCACATTAAACTTTGAAGTGTCAGAAACACCACCTGTTGTCAATGAAGGCACGTAACCTTCACTTGGCACCTTTGTTTACGCGTGTGTTGCAATCTAAGACCTCCATCACTGCGGCTGTTTATGAAGGATGACAAGTACCGCGCACTTTGCCGGGTCGTCGACATTAGCCGCATAAAAGCCAGAGAGCGCAACAGACGGCCATTAAACGTGATGGTACCAATCTGTGTGTTTATGCAGTTGGCCTGCGCGGGGTTTCAGTGTCGCTGTGAAAACCTTCGTCACCCGCAGTGCAGCCGAGGACAGCAACGGGCTGTCGGAACTTGTCAGATGCCGATCACATAGGTATACCATTGAGAGAAGTAACTATCGAGCATTTGTTTTCTTCTTCATAAATTTGGCTAACATATTTGAATGGACGGATTGACAGAGTCGGGGCCCACACTAAGCACATGAATACAGTGCATAATCCAGCATAGCCGCCAATTATTTAGGTGAGGTGAAAATCACAATGCGACCTCCACTACACCACAAGAGCAAGCTGGACACAATATAAAATAGCTTTAGGCACCTGAGCCTGGGATCAGTTCAGAAACCACGCGGGTTGCCCTGTGGCAACAACTCGGCACTGCTACCCCCCCCCCCCCCTTTCGGTTGTGACGGACACGTCTGAAGGCGGGCGGTGGCACGAAGATAAGTAAAAACCGGACTGCAATTCACTCCGCTCACCGGCCTGCCGTAAGCTGTGAATGGAAGCCGTCACTGCGACGGATTCCCGAGGGTACAGGCACAAGCACAGAGGCGGACACGGACACGGGCACGGGCACGGAGACGGACACGGATGACGGACACCAACACGAAAAAGACACACACTGACACCAGCAAGACACGGGCACAGACATTGGCACAGGCACAGGAAGTTTCAATAACAAAGGCCCATGAGACTGAAACGGGCATGGACAATGGGCATGGTCACGAGCATGCAGGCATGGGTGAGGAGCGGAGCCCGCACTGATACGGACACGGGCACAGGCGCAGTTACAGGCAAGGACACTGAAGTAATGCAGTTGAATTGTTGGCTTTTGGGCCGCCCACGCCCTACATCCCAAAAGATGTATGTACTCTGCAAAGAAATGTCAGACTACACCGGTGTATTTATGTTTTACCGCGCTGTCACAGTCGTGCCTGTCTCACAATCTGTCGTGAGACCCCTTTCTTACAGACCATGTCACGGGACCGGCCGTCGTGTCACCGAGTGTCGGCGTGGGTTCCAGCCGCCCACGGGCACCGTACGACCGTCACGACTCACGACTGAAGTTGAACAGTGGGGTGAGAGCCACGCCCTCGGACCAGAGCAGGCACTCGCCGGCTCTGTACTGCAGTCCGGCTACACCATGGTCAGCGTGAGCTCACTCAGGGTTAATGGGATGTTAAGCAAGAGAATCGCGATACTTTTTATAGTGCCGTCACGAAGCACTTTGCTCTTTTTATACGCTTGTCAGCAACATTTATATGGTGTCTTCTTGTACCTTTTTTTAAATTGGTTCGGAGCACCGCAGAATTTGACGTCACTTCTTTCCCTCTCAGGTGAAGCTATCGGGCGATCATGCTGTCGCTTCACTTTTGCATTCACACGCATTACTGTGCGTATGCCGTATATGTAACTATGTAACATCATGACAAACAAAAATCATTGCTATCGCATACGTCAAAAACCCACGCGCTAACTTTGCGATAAGTGTAAAGGACTTCCCAAAGCTCCAGAGCATCTACCGTTCGATCTGTCAATAATCATCACTTGTATATCTGATCTCACCTCATTAATATGACCAAAGCGTGACACACGAATCCAATAACCTGGTACACCTTGAACCCAAGGGCACCATTGAGTTTTCCTAGCGAGCGGCGAAAGAAGCAGACGAAATCCTTGTAGGACTAGGTCGATGTTTTCATGCCATACAAACGCTGTGCGAAAGACAATTGAGAAGAAAAGCTAGCGGAGAAACTTCCGGGGCAAAATACCAACGGATCATTTAGCACTTCAGTCTACACCATTAAACAGCGGTGCTGGCACCATAAGAAGCTTACAATTTTTGAACGAAATAGGCACCTCAATACAATCGATAAAAAACAACACACAACTTTTGCAAGTACGACCCAAACCGTCCACCACTCGCACCATTCAGTCTCACCTGTTCGATGGGTCGTCTCGTCCAAGTGACGCTGTTCCCTGCAGCGGTCGTCTCGTCCCTGTCACGTGTGCTGACGTTCACGGCGGCGGCAGTCACACGTCCGTCCGTCCGGCGGCTCCGGCTCCAACTCCGGCGGCGGCAGCGGCGGCGGAGCCCCACCGTCCTCCGGCGCGCCCGGCGCCCCGTCCGCCGGCCGTATATAGCGCCCCGAGCCGCGTACATCATACCTCAAACGGCGAGCCTGCCGGTACCGGGACAGACGGTCATTTGTCGCCGGCTGCACACCGGCCATAGAGGGGTTCCGGCCGCCGATAGCGGGGTGTTGCACGCCTCCCGACAGGCTGTCGCGACTGGAACCACGCTGGCTGCACGGGTTATAGGAGCTGTGTGTCAACGGAACTGGTCCGAATAGTGCGGGAATCACCTATCGCGGTTGTTGCATGACATATGCGACACATGAGCACCATCGTCATAACACTTCGGGACGGCGGGCCAGCAGCATCTCAGGTGCTCGTTTTATAACTGATATTTTTACCGCAGTTAACTATTTCTATTTTCTCTCGATGAAAACAGTTGAATATCATGATCTCCTAGTTGATGTTTTTATTCTATCCTTTGGGTTGTAATGCAAATTGCAACGTCAGGTTGTAATTAATGACGCATTTCTATCGGCACCTACAATGCTACGTGCCAATGATATGTATGTGTTGTTTGTTGTTACCTTCCTGCTTTTAAATTGGTTAAATTTTTCTTCTTCAATGTTGTGCAGAGGCAACGTTACCTAATCTCAGCGTTAGCACAGTTAACGTAAAAGGAATAGAATGTGATACTGTGTTTGGTTACCTATAGCATAAACTTCAGCTCACCACCAAAATTTAAACCCGACTCAGTAAGATAGGTATAGTTACTTTAATGTGCGCATTATTAAAATTCGAGTTTAGAGAAGAAGAAAAAAAAATATGAAAAATATCGCCATTTGAAAATAAAAACCAGCTTTTAAATGAGTGATAACTTCTATGTTTATGAAACGTGAAGTCGAAGCATTAAGGCGAGCATGTAGCATCGTCAGTCTGCGAGTGTGCATGGGTAAATTGATACGCAGGATCACTAAAAACGCCGCATCACGTTTCCCTTTCCGACAGTAGCGGCGGAACACCTTCAATTGATTAAGGGGGGGGGGGGGGGGCACTGCCGACTTTTGATCCCATTCTGTCCATGCAACGCCCATAGGGCTAATGTTAGCCCTCGCATGTGTAGGGGGGGGGGGTCGGATGGACCCCCCCATGGTTTTTCGCGAATAACTTGCGTAAAAAGCGACCGATCGCGACGAAACTTTCAGTACCCTCGCATTGATCAATTTTACACCTACTCTGAAAATTTCATGACCCTGACCCCAATGACCTTTGACCTGTGACGACCTCTTTTCCGAGACCATGTTTGGCCGGAATCGCGATTCCGCGTATGTCGGCTCGCATTAGCCGCGCGTTTGCAAGCTTTTCGTGGTTTCAAACGTTCAAACATGTGATTTGATGTTGCTCCCATGCATTAGGGTGGGTGTCAAGGTCACCTGAAGGTTAGGTCAGGTCATTGACCTTTGGTGACCTCGGGTGACCTCGGTTCACTTTTTCGAGTTTTACATGTTTCTAGGTTAGTTTTTTTTAGCTGAATTCGAATTTAGCAACCATTTGAACATTTACGAAGTAGTTTTGGTGACTTCGTAACATGTTACGAAGCTGTCAGAGGCGGTTGACACGTACTACGAATACCCGTCACGACGCCTACAGGTAGACCTGACCTGACCTGACCCGACCTGGTCTAAATGCTTAAAGACATCATCTGTGATCAAAACTAACACGATATTCGTGATCAGCACCCCGAAAAACCCCTTAGCAGTCACACTTTACGACTTTCTAACAGGTCCCGATTTTCCCGACTTTGGGTCATTGACCTGACCTGGAAGGTCAACCAATGACCTAGGACCTTAAAATTGGGTATCATCGGCTTCCTCTCGTCACGGGCAACACGCTCGTTTTTTTTTCCGCGAAGCTCTAGCTCGATCAGGGGCCAAACGGCAAGGGGGGGTCCAACCGACCCCCCCCCCTACACATTAGAAGCTGGCAAACGCCGCACACATGCGAGGGTTAAAATGCCGAAATCAAAGGGGGCACGGTGCCCCGGTGTCCTCCCCGTTCCGCCGCCTAGGCACTTTCCGAATGATTTTAACACAATTATTCATTATCAAACGTTACGTTTCGTAATCTACAATATAATAATTTCAGTCCAATAAAACCATCACGGTCGGGCGGCCCATTTCGCCGTTATCTGTCGCGGCGGGGCGCCGATCGTCCCGGTCTCGTCACCCGCAGTGACCCGTCGAGGGGCGCCCGTGGTCTCGGTCTCGTCACCCGCAGTGACCCGTCGCGGGGCGCCCGTGGTCTCGGTCTCGTCACCCGCAGTGACCCGTCGCGCGCCGTCGGATGCCCGGTGGGAGCGGGCTGCTCCGTTGAGGGGAGCCGTGCGGCGCCGGTGACCGGGACGGTGGTGACCGGTGACCGCTGACCACTGACCAGTGACCACTGACTACTGACCACTGACCACTGACCGGTGACGACTGATCAGTGACCACCAACCAGTGACCACTGACCAGTGACCGGGACCAGAAAACGATGCTCGGTGTTCACCGACCACTGATCGGTTACTGCACTGACCACTGAACGCCGACTGGTGGCTGTGGATCCATAACCTATGACTCGTGGCCGATAATTTTGTTCCGTGAGCTTGTGGTGGCTGGCAACCGGTGAACGGTGACCACCACTAACTATGCAAACCAGTAACCATCGCGCCGTACACTGGGGAGGGGGGCGTTCTCACGCCTCTCCCTCAGGTTTTTTTTTCGCGAATGTCTTAACCCTATTAGTGGCAGGGGGGGGGGTTGTTTTTATCCACCCCTCAGGTTTTTCGGAAATATCTCCGAAACCGCTAAAGCTACGATGCTGAAATTTTCTGACTTTTCCTAAAACGAAATTGGGCACATTCCCTGAAAATTTCAAGTTCATAACTTTACCAGGGGCGGCTCCAGAGCACTGGGAATTGGGGGGTCCTATTCGTGAAGCGAGTCATTTGGGCGAAGATCACGATGCTGCACCAGTTTTACGAACAGTGAATGAAAGGTATCATGTGATAACATATACAAAGTTATTGTGCATCCTCTTTTGACACGTTTTTGCTATAATAGGCGGATCCAGGCGTCCAAAAAGGGGGGTTATTTTTTACCTCCCAACATAGGTGCCCTGACACCGCCTATGCATGACCAATACAATTTTAGTCGTTCTCTCATAAGAAAATTGTAACATAACAAGACCATTGCCACCCTTTTTAGAAACAGTACCAACAAAAACCTTATTTACTATACTTTTTGTGTACCCCCAATCTCAATGATCTGTATCCGCCTATGATTTTTGAAAATGCATATTTTTAGGATCCATGTGAATTCCTGGTTCATTCTCTATCGATCGGCAAAAGTTGCGTTAAGATTGGTTCAGAAACCTGGCCGTGATAAACAGTCTAAAATGTATCTGCAATTTGCACTTTTTTACCCCCCTCTACCCCCCTATTGACATTTTTTAATTTTATTTTTTTAGAAATGTAGATCTCGTTGAGCCAAATCGAATGCCGTTTGAATTTTGAATATCGGCCCGTTAGATCTCGAGATATCAAGGGGGGGTCGTAAACAGCCCCCCCCCCTGCCACTAATATGGGGTAGCCAGGAGCCTGCCACGCGTATTTGGAAATTCCGACCTCGACGAGCATCTGTGGTAGAAAACCACCACTTTCGTAGGGGAAACTACTGCTGTCTGCTACCATTTGCACTGCATGTGTCGCTATAGTCGCGACATCTATGCAAATAAACCGCTTATAAACTGCTTACTGCGACATCTGTGTGCGCCGATTCTAGTTAGCGATTAGCTAGGGGACCAGGGCGGATCCATCCAGACTTTCGGTTTGGGGGTGGGGGGACTCATGTCATGGGTCACTCATGGCCGGCCCGATCCCCGGCAATCAGTTGCTGAGCGGTGGGGGGGGGGAGGGGGCGGAGGAGGAAGGTCCAATATGATGCCACAAAAGACGTGCCTCTTGCCTATAGGTACATACGCATGCAGCATTGGTATTAGCATTTAGCAGTGTGCCTCCTGAGATGTTAGTGATTTTTTATCGATTCATCGAGTTGACGATTTGAGGATACCCATGGCGTGTCATTTCGCGAACTAGCGACCGGAGTTTAGTACACCTCCTCACCGACAGATGGCAGGACAACTGCGTGAGAATATACCTGAGAAAAACGTAAAAAAGCAAAACAAATATCACGATCATCATTGCAAGCGTACAATAAACCGCCAAGAAGACCACTTTAACGATTTATAGGTTTAAAATGGCGAGTTCGCTAAAATAAGATCCAGCCAACATGCCACGGGCTCGCCCGGTATTCATTGCATGCACTTATCATCGAACATTGCGGGCACATTTTTGAACGGAATGAATCGAAACTCGGTGACAGTAGTCTTCAATGTATCCACCAAGCGGAGCCAGGGAACATTTTTGATAAACCTAATAGTTTCAGAGATATTCAATGATAACCGAGATTCCGTCGCTCCGTCGGCGGCGTTCCCGACGATTTAACATGGGAAAATGAGAATAACTTGCAAAATGTACACGACGATTGCGGGCACAGTTTTAGAGTCTCGCACACCAAAATGGCATCAATATGTTCCAAATTGATCATAGTTTCCTGTACTCGGGAACATCTTTGATAAACGGTCCCGTTCTGCCGCAATCGCCGGTAATGTGACGAATCCGCGCGAAATCCCTATGGCAGCCGGTGCGCCGGAGCGGCCGGCCGCCGGTCGCTAGTTCGCGAAATGACACGCCATGCTTTCTCAAAGTGCCTATCAAGCAAGACAAAAATCAATGAAATGATTTCTACAAAAAATAGACAGGTGGGACTCCTCACTCCTCAGAGACCATTGTAGCTGCAGTTTAATAACTCAGAAGTTGAGTCACGCGTGAAGCCCTATCTAGTCAACTGGAAAGACCCAAAGGAGCCCGCCTAGGGCTCCCAGAGAATGGTGTGGGCCCCCAGGAGCCCGCCAGTGACCCCATGAGTGATAATTGAGGAATACCAAGTGTCTGAAAGTGCTAAACTAAAGAAATAATATATTTTGCAGACCAATTCCTAACATTATT